TATGTCAAACAGACGCCTGGTGGTCGTGTGGTGAGGGGGCGGTGCGCGTCATACGTATCAGTCGCTCCCCTGTCACCGTGGTGAACTGGTTCGGATGGCTGTTGATACGCTGTCGCAGTTCAGAACCCGGTCGGTAGGTGGCGCCCACAACCCGCTCGCAGCGCGCAGCGCTGGGTCGTCGCCAAACCGCGACCCTCGCCACTCCGGCGGCAGCAGAGACCTCCGACTCGGCAGAGGTTGACGAGCTGAAGATGAGTCAAGCCGACCCGCTGGTCGCAGCTCGCTCCTGAGCCGACCCTCCCGGTCGAGCTCGCTCCTGGGTCGACCCGCTGGTCGCCCTCGCTCCTGAGTCGACCCTCCCGGTCGCACTCCTGAGTCGACCCACTGGTCGCACTCCTGAGTGGACCCGCTGGTCGCACTCCTGAGTGGACCCGCTGGTCGCACTCCTCCTGAGCCGACTCTCCCGGTCGCACTCCTGAGTGGACCCGCTGGTCGCACTAGTTTCCAATGCTCAGGATCCTTCCTTTATGCCGAAAAATCCCCCTGGATCCCGCCCACAAGGCGGGGCTTCTTTCGATTTTTGCCGTGTCAGGATTTGTCCGTAGGTAGGTGTGTCCATGTGTGTGTCCGTACGTCCGTATGTCCTTGTGTGCATCACCCACGGTATATTCCGTTGTCACACTCCCTCCATAAACCCACGAGCAAACAATCAGATGTTACAAATTGCCTCGAGGTCGTCTCTCTGTCTGGGTGCAATATTATCTCTTGTTTGGCCTTCTTCATGAACCCAAAACACAGACATCACAAATCGTCTCATAGGGGTCTTTGTTCGTGTTGCATCACCTGGAGGGAGGGGCAACGCTCTCTCCGACCCGGCGCACAAAGAAATGGTTAAAAAGTTTTAAGTTAACATTTGTCCCTTACTATTTCACAGTTATGATTCTGTATGTAACCTAAGGTCTGTCGTTTCCCATCGTGGTGCTTGACTCCAGTGGAGGTGTTTCCCCGAGCGTATACACACTCCTATCCCGCTCTGCGGGGATACAAAGACGGCCGGGATCTCCCTTTCTCTCCGACCCTGGGTTTAACATCGTTTTTTTATTATGTATTATATTCGACCTGGTGGTGATTCATCCCGTTATCCTGGCTTTTCATAAGTTTTACTTTGTCTTTTCATGCATATGCTTATTATTATTAACTTATTTCCGATATCTTAGGTCAAGGGGTAAGCTTCTTGATCCTAGGAATTCGTATTCCTTGGTGTCTGCATGGTTATATAAGCGGAATATAGTTTACGGTGAATAGCGTTAACATTGATGTTATGTCCGATATTATGTATTGTGATGTCTTTAACTTAACTTGTTTGTCAGAGCTTTACTGACACGAAGTTGCATTTCATAGCCCCGCAGTCTTTGCCCCACCCTATCTCTGCTCGCCGTTGTTGTTGCCGTCCAGCTGGCCGTTAACTCAAGGCCTCATTAATTTCCGTCACTCCTTGTAGGGGAGGGCGGTTGAACCTTGGAGTCAGTTCTGGTTTTTGTCTGCCGCCGTGCTCTTAATTTCCTTCCCTCTTCAACCTTATATATGATATATTCGCTCCTGTCTGGGTGCGATTCAATTTTGACTTAGGAAGGTTCTGATTGTCATATGCTTCGGGTCGAGTTGTATAGAAAGTATTAAAGTATGGAAATAACATTTCATATTGACTTAATGATGGTGATGGTTTAGTAGGCGTAACTTGTGGCCTGGTTTAATTGGAGTGGGTGTGAATATCAATAACTTTAGCCTACCCTGTTGTTAAATTCCGACTTTAACGTTACTTTAATAGCAATACAGAATAATTGAGCTTTTTGTCTTAACTAGGCGAATGCGAACTTCTGGTGACCCCCGCAGACTTGTTATTCAGCTGGGTCTTGCCCGCCTTGAGAGATATACAACACTCTTTTAAATCAGCTCCCCCCCTGTGCACACAGCCTTGAGCTGACCCACTTCTTTGTTCCCTCAGTGTGCACGTGTTCTAACTAGCTCGGAATCCCTGAACACACAATCAGTGATGATTCCTGGCTTTCTGTGGTTGTGATGTAGACAAAGGCGCCTCTACTTTCTTTCATTGCCTTTGCCTTGAAGCAAGGTTGCAAATTCTGCCATCCTAGCCCTCCTCCTGTTCATTACTTAACAACACCTGGTGTTTTGCAGTTTGCTGCGCTCTGGTGTGTTTATTCATTAAAAAAAAACAAGTAAAAGATAATATATAAAAATCTCATCAAATATGATTAATCTCAGTTTTGGAAGAAGGGTTAGGATACAACACCGAGCCCCACTTGTGCTGCTGTTACCGCTCTTATGATTTGAAGCTTTGTGAGTGCATTTGTTGTTTTATATTGATATTATTTTGTTATTTTCCCTTTTATGTGACTTTACCGAAAGAACCAAGAATATGAATCCCTGCAGTCACGAAAGCTTTAAATCAAAATTTAAAGGTGGGCTTTGTCAACGTGTGGAAATGACTATCGGTCACAGGCTCTAAACGCGTGCTGATGTTCACTCTTAAATGTGGAGGGGCCTCCGGAGGAAATCCACGTCACCACTGAGAGAGAGGGAGACACGCAAACTCTGTTATGTTGATTTAATCCTCAATTACTTGATGGAGTGAGGAAGCATTGAAAACTTTGGTATTATCCATGTTTGCTTGTTGTAGTACAGAGTTAGCCTGAACAACTTTAATCTGAATTGTCCTATGGCAAGGGAAATTTGTGAATGTGTGTCTGTTCGAAATGTTAGCATACTTTCTGACATGCAACAAACTTGAAATTTGGCATGTGGGTACCTTCCAGACTGTACACAATGCAAAAAGTATAAAAATTTACTTTTGCATTTTTTGGGGAGTGTGCGCAATAATGGATATATTTTGCATGGCAAGTGAGCGGTGACCTCACATCTGTGATGTCACCCGCATGCGGCAGTGTCACGCAGTGTGCATGCTGACGTCACGCATCTCCCACCCTCCGCGTGGGCGTGGATTCATTCAAGACAAGAATCAAGTCTGGACGAAGCCAGATAGTAAAGCTAGTACCCTAATAAATGAAACTGAAACATTAATATGAGCAGATGAAGGTGTGGGGCCAGGCATGGTTCTGGACACGACACCACCTGTTTAACACGGCAGTGTAGCAGTGTCAAGTTTGTGTTTGCAGTAAAGTCTATTAATTCTATTGAACACGGAGGTTATATCAAAAGCATGGTTTATGTTTTTGTTTTTATCTGGAACTCTTTATGAGAATGGAGCAGTCAGGAAGTTGACACAGCACACATACAGCTGACGTTAGATCTGTTCATCCCAGCATTCAAAGAAACCTGAGCCTGGCTTCACACCTCTAAGTTGCGATTGAACATGAATTTATGCATAACACAAGTAGTATTATTTTCAACACCCTTTGCTATGTCAGCTGAATTAGCTCTTATGAATATTCATTTTGTAGCCAGACAGCCAAAATTGTGCTTGGAGTTTTGGGTTAACATTCATTTTGAAGATCGAGGGCTTCCAGGAATGTTTATGACCATTTGCCCTCTCATAGTGCGCCATAACAGCCCGTGTGATGAATTTGGGAAACTTTTAACTCTATCATGAATATATAATACGTATAGACGTGTTAGTCATGTGTGACTGTATTTATATATACTCTTTGGTTCTTTCGGTAAAGTCACGTAGGTAGAAATAAAATAAGTAAAATTTTAAAAAACTTTTAAGAACACGCTTTTATGAAATGTACTTGTAATGGAAGAACTCCACGACTCCAGGAAGTGGCTCTGAGGCTTGCCGTAACACAAGCGACCGTGGTCATTACAGCCAACGTCAGTTTACCGTGGACAATTAGACCCAAGCCGAAACATAACATGTAAAAAAGATTGTTTAAATTTGTTTTATTTAATGATAGAATATAGTATTGTCATCAGTATGGCGTAAGTATACCAAGTTTGCAGTCGATATCACATTGGGAAGTGGGTTAAAATTGAGTTACAAGATTTGAGGATACAACAACAACAATGACAACAACAACAGACAGTGAGTTAAATGAAAGCGTTTATTAAATAAATCACAGCAGACATCTCAGCTATCGCAATTTTCACCCGAAGACGAACGCTTGTGTTGCGTTCGAAACGTCATTTATGTTAATTCTACCTACGTGACTTTACCGAAAGAACCATAGAGTATGGATTCCTGCAGTCATGAAAGCTTCAAATCAAGATTGTGTACTTATATGCGTATATTCATTCCTCTGTGCCTTGATACTGACGTAGATGCTATTTTCTGTCTGCAGCTGTCGCTTCCTCTGACGCTTCCACTGCAGAATTGGTCTATGGAGCACAGGCAGTCAGCGCGGCTCGGTACGGCAAGGCAACAATCCGACCAGCGTGCATACAGCACGGATCGGACTGAATTTTGACACAGCATCAGAAAAAACACACGGGAGAAAAACCCTTCAAGGCACTCGGTGTGAGATGGCGTTTGCAGATTCATCAACTCTTCAAAGACACCAGAGAAAACACACGGGAGAAAACCCTTCAAGTGCATTGTGGTGGGAAGGCATTTTCACAGTCATCTAATCTTGCACAAACCAGAGAACACACACAGAGAGAAATCCTTCAAGTGCAGGTGTGTGGGAAGGCATTTTTCACAGTCACAAATCTTGCACACCAGAGAACAACACAGGAGAGAAACCCTTCAAGTGCACTGTGTGTGGGAAGGCATTTTACGGTCACAACATCTTACAATACACAGAGACCACACAGGAGATAAACCCTTCAAGTGCACTCTGTGTGGGAAGGCATTTTCACAGTCATATGATCTTGCAAAACACCAGAGAACTCACACAGGAGTGAAACCCTTCAAGTGCAGTGTGTGGAGAAGGCATTTTTACCATCTTCTTGCAAGACACCAGAGAACACACACAGGAGAGTGAAACCCTTCAAGTGCAGTGTGTGTGGGAAGGCTTTTGCAGTCATAATCTTGCAATACACCAGAGAACACACACAGGAGAGAAACCCTTCAGGCAGTGTGTGGGCAAGGCATTTTCACAGTCTCAATCTTGCAAACACAGAGAACACACACAGGAGAGAAACCCTTCAAGTGCAGTGTGTGTGGGAAGGCATTTTCACAAATCTTGCAACACCAGGAGAACACACACAGGAGAGAAACCTTCAAGTGCAGTGTGTGGGAAGGCATTTTTCACAGTCACAATTGCAACACCAGAGAACACACACAGGAGAGAAACCCTTCAAGTGCAGAGTGTGTGGAAGGCATTTTCCAGTTACAACATTGCACGACACAGGAGAACACACACAGGAGAGAAACCCTTCAAGTGCAGTGTGTGTGGGAAGGCATTTTCATACTCATCTGTTCTTGCAAGACACCAGAGAACACACAGGAGAGAAACCCTTCAAGTGCAGAGTGTGTGGGAAGGCATTTTCACAGTCAAATCTTGCAACACACCGAGAACACACAGGAGAGAACCCTTCAAGTGCAGTGTGTGTGGGAAGGCATTTTCATACTCATCTGTTCTTGCAAGACACCAGAGAACACACACAGGAGAGAAACCCTTCAGGTGCACTCTGTGCGGGAAGGCGTTTGCACGTTCACAACATCTTCAAGAACACCAGAGAACACAGAAGCATCAGAAGATCCACAAGGAGTGGAGTCTGAAATCAGCTTGTGAAAGTCAAAGTGCCGTAAGGAGCCCATCCCTCATGAAAAGTACCGGAAGAAAATCCCAGTTTGGGCACTTTAAAAGGTACAAGGCGGAATTTGAAGAGGTGATTGTGAAATGTGAAGAGGTGACGTTGAAGAGCGAAGAAGTGAAGGTAAAATGTGAAGATGAAAATTCGACTCCAGAATGGGACCTTCACATCGGTGGAGGCAACGTGAAGCAAGAGGGGAATTCTGACTGTAAGGCAGAGCGAGGCAACTCACAGCCGTTTGTGGAAGTGGAGGTGTGGTGTGGACTTCCTAGACAATATAAAGTCAAATTGGAGACCCGGTAGATGTGTAAGCGTTGAGACGATGTCGCTTCCAATAGATGCACCTTTGTCATCAGGCCTTTAATGAAAATAACGTGAAGTAGAACATTGAAATCTTAGGTTCAACTGCAGGTAAGAGCGGCCAGTCTTGGTGGATTGTTGGTTTTGGGTAGATATTCACCAGGAGCTTCGGTGTTTACCACTGAACCCTATGGGAGCCTTCATCTGGCTCTGTGAGCCTCAGCGATTCACACTGAAGCCTATGGGAGCTTAGTCTTGCTCTGTGAGCCTCGGTAATTACAATGAATGCGATGGATGGGAGCCAGTGAACATGGCGTGAGGTCAGTGGCTGGGGAGGCACTGGGGGCGTGGCCTCACCGGTGTGTCTTGACCGCCCACCCCCCTCAGTGAGGCAGATGTGATAGCTGCCTCCCCTGGTGCTTTTTCATTGCAGTTTCATGACGAGACCAGCGAGCCTACGTATCTTTATGCACATACAGTAGAACCTCTGGTCCGCGAATGCTTCTGATCACGACCAAATTGGGTTTCGACCAAAACATTTACAACAGTTTATTTAATCTGGTCCCGAACACATACTCGGGTGGAGATCAAACAGGGCCGCGGCCGATTTCTCCTTCCGCGCCATTTTTGTTGTTGAAGTACACAAAGCGTAACAGTTATGTATATATCTTTTGTAATATAAATTCCTAGTAAGATATGTATACATTTTTGTAAGTGTAGGCATACCCCTCCTTCCTCATTCAAGCCATAGTTTAGAGAGCGAAAGCGCTGAGTACGTCAATCGCTAACATAAGAACCCGTTAATCTCTTCTCGCATTAATACGATGATGCGGTGAAGTTAACGTTCATACGATTACGGTGAATGCTTCCAAAAACAATACTGTACTCAAATATTACTGTTAACTTTCAATAGAAACATAAATTGCTCATATGAATATGCTCTCTCAGAATCGACCGACTGATGTAGCAGACGAAACAGTAATCTGTTGAACAATTCTAAACCTTGTCAGTTTTTCTCTGTTTTTCAAGGTTTTCTCAGTGTTATGCAATGTTTTTACATTTAGTTTACTATTACAATGAATTCTATGGCATAATTAACTTTTTTTGTCCTTAAAAATATTTTTAAAACTTTATATACAGTTCGTAGGAGTCTGGAATGGATTAATCGTATTAACATACAATCCAATGGGGGAAATTAGGTTTGAGTCACGACCCCAAATCGGGTTGCGACCAAAGTTATGGAACGAATTATGGTCGTGACCAGAGTTCTACTGTACTTGAACTCAGTTCCCTGGACTATGGAAGGCGAGGACATGCAATGAAGGGGTCTACAAACATTTCCATTGGTGACATGCTGAGATAGTAACAGGCCAAGCCCTTACTGCCCGCGGTCCATCCAGTGTCTGAGGGGAGGCTGAGCGTGTCGCTGCCTCACCTCTCGTCTCTCCCTGTACTTGCAGCGAAGCTCCGCAAATTTGGCGATTTTGACTATAAATAAATAATTAAGAAAAACACTTGCTTTTTCATACGTGCTTTTATGAAATGTACTAGTAATGGCAGAACTCCACGACTCCAGGAAATGGCCCCCGAAGCTTGCCATAACGTAAGGGACAGTGGCCAATTATAGCCAACGTCAGTTGACTGTGGGGACAATTAGACCGAAACATAACATAAAAACGAATGTTAAAAATATATTTTTTTAAATGATAGAATATAGTATTGTCATCAGTATGACATAAGTATACCAAGTTTGCAGTCGATACCACATTGGGAAGTTGGTTAAAATTGAGTTACAAGATTTGAGAATACGACAAAAAACGACAACAGACAGTTAAAATTAAATATTTTAAAATACTTTTTTTAAAAACACGCTTTAATGAAATGTACTGTCCGAGCTGCCCCTGCCCCCTTCTCTCATCGCTCCTCTTCCACATGCCCCGGCCCTGGGCGTGGCTCCCCAAGGCTTGCCGTGACGTAAGGGACCGCGGTGATTTACAGGCAACGTCAGTTGAGCGTGGACAATTAGAGCCGTAAAAAAGATTGTAAAAAATATTATTTATTTTTAATGATAAAATATGGTATTGTCATCAGTATGACACACCTATACGAATTTTGCATTCGATACATTGGGAATACGGTTGAAATTGAGTTACAAGATTTTTGGATACAACACATACAGTAAATTTAATAAAAGCGTGTTAACTGTAAAAAAAATCTATGTTATGGATTTTGTATGATATAATATCGTGTTGTCATCAATATGACATCGCTATACCAAGTTTGCAGTCGATAGCACATTGGGAAGTGTGTAAAATTTGAGTTAGAAGATTTCGTTTTTGAGGATACAACAGACGAAGTGAGTTAAATAGAAGCGTGTAAAAATGATTGGAATCATCTTCTTGGTTCTTTCGGTAGTCACGTAGAAGGGAAATAATAAAAATAAAACTTTTTAAAATAATTCTCACGACGTTTCGGCCACAACGCAAGCAGCCGTCCTCAGGTGACAGACCTGCTTGCGTTTTGGCCGAAACGTGAGAATTTTATTTTAGTATGTTTTATTTATTTATTGTTTTATTATTTCCCTTTTACGTGACTTTACCGAAAGAACCAAGAAGATGAATCCCTGCAGTCACGAAAACTTTAAATCGAAAATGATTGGAATCGTACAGAAATGACATAACACCCAATTTCAAAGCAGATTGCGGTCCACCCTTCTGAAACGCCCTGTAATTTACGAGTTTTGAATAATTGTAACCAAACACAATAAACCAGACACGTGAATTTGTGAACTTTCACGGCAACGTGTGTCGAGACCTTTAATCTGTGTAATCGGCCACGTGTGTGTGTACATACAAACACAAAGATCCCCCCCGGTATAGCCTTCACAGACTATTGGGGCAAGTGCTGTTAGCGGGTGGCGATATTCGCACACCGCACCGGGTACGCATTTGAGGCTGAGTCGATGTAGGGGCGGCTCAGGACCGGTTAAAAAAATCATCTCCACTGGTTATGGGGGCCGTCCATAAATGAGGTCACGCGATTTTGGACGATTTTTGACCCCCCCACCCGCGTCACACGGCGTCACAAAAAGTCAAACCCCCTCAAATATGACGTCACACAGCTCTGCCCCCCAAATAAAATATAACACGCTTCAAATTGCTTTAAACTATTGTCATTGTCGTGCGTTTTTAATGTGGCGCTGCATTCTGATGTAGGAGGAAAACATTAAAAGTCTATTTAATTATGTAGAATGTGTTGTCTATATGTATTTAAAGTTGCGCATTTTGATGTGATGTCACATTTCTCAACCCCCACCCCCCTGGTCTCCTTTTTAATAAATGTTTTCTTCTACAACAACAGAGTGCAGCGCCACATTAAATACGCACTACAATGACAATAGTTTAAAGCGATTTGAAGCGTGTTTTTTTTGAAGGGGGGGGGGGGGGTAGAGCTTTGTGACGTCATATTTGAGGGGGGTCTGACTTTTTGTGACGCTGTGTGACGAGGGGGGGGGGGGATCAAAAATTGTCCAAAATCGCGTGACGTCATTTATGGACGGCCTCTGTACGCAAAACTTTAACTCTGACCCCTCTCTCTGACGTCACCACTAAGCATTACCTCATCGGCGTGAAACGCCAGGGGGGGCGGTGCGCCTCGCTAGTGACGTCATGTCACCCCTGCTTGGTCCCCGTCGATGTCTGACCCGTACAATCCTTATTTGGGCAAAGCTACGCCCAGTGACTGGCGGCTCATTAACATAATCTAGGATCTAAGCTTTGGTGACTGCAGGAATTGCTCATTGGTTATTTCGGTAAAGAAATGAAATACAATTTACATAATATATTCGTTAAAAGCCGTCGCGAGTTTGTTTTTTATTGCGACGGGTTCAGCACCCACGCCCCATCATCCCTCGACGCGTGACTTTACCGAAAGAGCCAATGAGTGTACAACGAGTTGAGTCATTCCTGCAGTTGACGAAAGCTTCAATTCTCGAATAAGTTATTCAGTTACCCAGCCCCGCTCGTTGGGGGCGTGTCTTGTACCTCGGAAGTGAATATCACGTCACATCCTGCTGCCGCCATAACGTAGCGAGGTAACGAGAGGCTGCCGTTGAAATCTGAGGTGAGAGATTTTCATCGTGGTGGTTGTTGTGGTGGTGGTGGTTGTTGTTGTTGTTTACCAAGGTAGAGCCTCTCTCTTTCTCGTAGGGATGTCAATTGAGTCGCAGCGAGTATGGGAATCCATGTCCATGTTGGGACATTACAACGCGGGGCCTAGCCACGCGGGGCCTCGCCTCCTGCCCTCGCCTGAAGGCCTTTGTTTGAATTCTCTCGCTTCAACTTGATCTGGAAGCTTTCGTAACGGCAGCAGAAATACAATAAATGAAGAAACAACCGATTTAATGTGGTGGTTTTTTTTTCATTTATTTTAGTTATATCATATTTTTTTTATCCAAACTTTTTTTCATGAATGAAAAAACAATGTATTTAGTTTCTTTTTTTCATATTTAATTTTTAATACAATTTTTTTAATTAAAACTTTTTAATACTAAAAAATATTTAATAATTTATTCGTTTCATTAATTTTTTTACCTACGTGACCTTACCGAAAAGAACAAATAATTATCTCGGTTAAACTTGATCTGGAGCTTTCGTGAGTGCAGGGATCCATACTCTTTGGTTCTTTCGGTAAAGTCACGTAGAAAGAACACATTAATTAAATAATAGCATACGACGTTTCCTTTGCAACACGAGCAATCACCATCAGGTACAAATTAATGAGAAAGCAAAGATTGTAAACTTAGAACAATAGTCTTTGGTTCTTTCGGTAAAGTTACATAGGTATAAAATAAAATAAACTTAGAATTACAATGCAATACAACACAACACAGCGAGTCGGCTCACATAACAGTCAACACCCCACCTGGTTTATTAACGTTCTTCCAAAGATTGCTAAATTTTAGAGAGAGAACTAAACACGGACATGGAGACACATACACACAAGCAGAGAGAGATAGCACAGAGACAGAGAGACACATAGGCACACAGAGAGACACAGAGAAAGAGACACATATAGACATGGAGATAGACACACACATAGGCACACAGAGAGACAGACACACAGAGAGACACAGAGAGAGATGACACAGGCACACAGAGAGAGACACATAGGCACACAGGGAGAGATAACACAGACACGTAGGCACACACATAGGGCACACACAGAAACAACACCTCTGTGTTAAGGGCTTAAATAGAGAGGGGGGCAGAGAGATACGGGGAGAGAAATGAGCATGGCAATGAGAGATTTGGAGCTTTCGTGACTGCAGGAAATACAACACGAGGACAACTTAAGTTTCTATTTTATGTAACCAGGCCGAGCCCACTTGTGCTGCTGTTACCGCTCTTATGATTTGAAGCTTTCGTGAGTGCATTTGTTGTTTTATATTTATATTATTTTGTTATTTCCCTTTTATGTGACTTTACCGAAAGAACCAAGAATATGAATCCCTGCAGTCACGAAAGCTTTAAATCAAAATTTAAAGGTGGGCTTTGTCAACGTGTGGAAATGTCTATCGGTCAAAGGCTCTAAACGCGTGCTGATGTTCACTCTTAAATGTGGAGGGGCATCCGGAGGAAAATACACGCCACCACTGAGAGAGAGGGAGACACGCAAACTCTGTTATGTTGATTTAATCCTCAATTACTTGATGGAGTGAGGAAGCATTGATAACTTTTGGTTTAGCCATGTTTGCTTGTTGTAGTACAGAGTTAGCCTGACAACTTTAATCTGAATTGTCCTATGGCAAGGGAAATTTGTGAATGTGTGTCTGTTCGAAATGTTTAGCATACTTTCTGACATGCAACAAACTTGAAATTTGGCATGTGGGTACCTTCCAGACTGTACACAATGCAAAAAGTATAAAAAATTACTTTTGCATTTTTTGGGGAGTGTGCGCAATAATGGATATATTTTGCATGGCAAGTGAGCGGTGACCTCACGTCTGTGATGTCACCCGCATGCGGCAGTCTCACGCAGTGTGCATGCTGACGTCACACATCTCCCACCCTCCGCGTTGGCCGTGGATTCATTCAAGACAAGAATCCAAGTCTCGGACGAAGCCAGGTAGTAAAGCTAGTACCTAATAAATGAAACTGAAACATTAATACTGAGCAGATGAAGGTGTGGGGCCAGGCATGGTTCTGGACACGCCACCACCTGTTTAACACGGCAGTGTGTAGCAGTGTCAAGTTTGTGTTTGCAGTAAAGTCTATTAATTCTATTGAACACGGAGGTTATATCAAAAGCATGGTTTATGTTTTTTTGTTTTTATCTGGAACTCTTTATGAGAATGGAAGCAGTCAGGAAGTTGACACAGCACACATACAGCTGACGTTAGATCTGTTCATCCCAGCATTCAAAGAAACCTGAGCCTGGCTTCACACCTCTAAGTTGCGATTGAACATGAATTTATGCATAACATAAGTAGTATTATTTTCAACACCCTTTGCTATGTCAGCTGAATTTAGCTCTTATGAATATTCATTTTGTAGCCAGACAGCCAAAATTGTGTGCTTGGAGTTTTGGGTTAACATTCATTTTGAAGATACGAGGGCTTCCAGGAATGTTTATGACCATTTGCCCTCTCATAGTGCGCCATAACAGCCCGTGTGATGAATTTGGGAAACTTTTAACTCTATCATGAATATATTAATACGTATAGACGTGTTAGTCATGTGTGACTGTATTTATATATACTCTTTGGTTCTTTCGGTAAAGTCACGTAGGTAGAAATAAAATAAGTAAAATTTTAAAAAACTTTTAAGAACACGCTTTTATGAAATGTACTTGTAATGGAAGAACTCCACGACTCCAGGAAGTGGCCCTGAGGCTTGCCGTAACACAAGCGACCGTGGTCAATTACACCCAACGTCAGTTTACCGTGGACAATTAGACCCAAGCCGAAACATAACATGTAAAAAAGATTGTTTAAATTTTTTTTATTTAATGATAGAATATAGTATTATCATCAGTATGGCGTAAGTATACCAAGTTTGCAGTCGATATCACATTGGGAAGTGGGTTAAAATTGAGTTACAAGATTTGAGGATACAACGACAACAATGACAACAACAACAGACAGTGAGTTAAATGAAAGCGTTTATTAAAATAAATCACAGCAGACATCTCAGCTATCGCAATTTTCACCCGAAGACGAACGCTTGTGTTGCGTTCGAAACGTCATTTATGTTAATTCTACCTACGTGACTTTACCGAAAGAACCATAGAGTATGGATTCCTGCAGTCATGAAAGCTTCAAATCAAGATTGTGTACTTATATATGCGTATATTCATTCCTCTGTGCCTTGATACTGACGTGTAGATGCTATTTTCTGTCTGCAGCTGTCGCTTCCTCTGACGCTTCCTCTGCAGAATTGGTCTGATGGAGCACAGGCAGTCAGCGCGGCTCGGTACGGCAAGGCAACAATCCGACCAGCGTGCATACAGCACGGATCGGACTGAAATTTTGACACAGCATCAGAAAAAACACACGGGAGAAAAACCCTTCAAGTGCACTCGGTGTGATATGGCGTTTGCAGATTCATCAACTCTTCAAAGACACCAGAGAAAACACACGGGAGAGAAACCCTTCAAGTGCATTGTGTGTGGGAAGGCATTTTCACAGTCATCTAATCTTGCAAAACACAAGAGAACACACACAGAAGAGAAATCCTTCAAGTGCAGTGTGTGTGGGAAGGCATTTTCACAGTCACAATATCTTGCACGACACCAGAGAACACACACAGGAGAGAAACCCTTCAAGTGCAGTGTGTGTGGGAAGGCATTTTTACGGTCACAACATCTTACAATACACCAGAGAACACACACAGGAGAGAAACCCTTCAAGTGCACTCTGTGTGGGAAGGCATTTTCACAGTCATATGATCTTGCAAAACACCAGAGAACTCACACAGGAGAGAAACCCTTCAAGTGCAGTGTGTGTGAGAAGGCATTTTTACAGTCACCACATCTTGCAGCACACCAGAGAACACACACAGGAGTGAAACCCTTCAAGTGCAGTGTGTGTGGGAAGGCGTTTGCAGGTCCATCAAATTGTCAAATACACCAGAGAACACACACAGGAGAGAAACCCTTCAAGTGCAGTGTGTGTGGCAAGGCATTTTCACAGTCATCTGATCTTGCAATACACCAGAGAACACACACAGGAGAGAAACCCTTCAAGTGCAGAGTGTGTGGGAAGGCATTTTCACAGTCCTCAAATCTTGCAACACACAGGAGAACACACACAGGAGAGAAACCCTTCAAGTGCAGTGTGTGTGGGAAGGCATTTTTACAGTTGCAACAAATTGCACAACACCAGAGAACACACACCGGAGAGAAACCCTTCAAGTGCAGTGTGTGTGGGAAGGCATTTTCACAGTTACAACATCTTGCACGACACCAGAGAACACACACAGGAGAGAAACCCTTCAAGTGCAGTGTGTGTGGGAAGGCATTTTCAGAGTCAAGTGATCTTGCAAAACACCAGGGAACACACACAGGAGAGAAACCCTTCAAGTGCAGTGTGTGTGGGAAGGCATTTTCAGAGTCAAGTGATCTTGCAAAACACCAGAGAACACACACAGGAGAGAGACCCTTCAAGTGCAGTGTGTGTGGGAAGGCATTTTCATACTCATCTGTTCTTGCAAGACACCAGAGAACACACACAGGAGAGAAACCCTTCAGGTGCACTTTGTGCGGGAAGGCGTTTGCACGTTCACAACATCTTCAAGAACACCAGAGAACACAGAAGCATCAGAAGATCCACAAGGAGTGGAGTCTGAAATCAGCTTGTGAAAGTCAAAGTGCCGTAAGGAGCCCATCCCTCATGAAACAAGTACCGGAAGAAAATCCCAGTTTGGGCACTTTAAAAGGTGTCAAGGCGGAATTTGAAGAGGTGATTGTGAAATGTGAAGAGGTGACGTTGAAGAGCGAAGAAGTGAAGGTAAAATGTGAAGATGAAAATTCGACTCCAGAATGGGACCTTCACATCGGTGGAGGCAACGTGAAGCAAGAGGGGAATTCTGACTGTAAGGCAGAGCGGGGCAACTCACAGCAGTTTGTGGAAGTGGAGGTGTGGGTGGACTTCCTAGACAATATAAAGTCAAATGGAGACCCGGTAGATGTGTAAGCTTGAGACGATGTCGCTTCCAATAGATGCACCTTTGTCACAGGCCTTTAATGAAAATAACGTGAAGTAGAACATTGAAATCTTAGGTTCAACCTGCAGGGTAAGAGCGGCCAATCTTGGGGGATCTGTTGGTTGGGTAGATATCTCACCAGGAGCTTCGGTGTTTCACACTGAACCCTATGGGAGCATTCATCTGGCTCTTGTGAGCCTCAGCGATTCACACTGAAGCCTATGGGAGCCTTAGTCTTGCTCTGTGAGCCTCGGTAATTAACACTGAACGCGATGGATGGGAGCCAGTGACATGGCGTGAGGTCAGTGGCTGGGGAGGCACTGGGGGCGTGGCCTCACCGGTGTGTCTGACACGCCCACCCCCCTCAGTGAGGCAGATGTGATAGCTGCCTCCCCTGGTGCTTTTTCATTGCAGTTTCATGACGAGACCAGCGAGCCTACGTATCTTTATGCACATACAGTAGAACCTCTGTTCGCGAATGCTTCTGACCACGACCAAATTGGGTATCGACCAAAACATTTACAACAGTTTATTTAATCTGGTCACGAACACATACTCGGGTGGAGATCAAACAGGGCCGCGGCCGATTTCCCCTTCCGCGCCATTTTTGTTGTTGAATTACACAAAGCGTAACAGTTATGTATATATCTTTTGTAATATAAAATTCCTAGTAAGATATGTATACATTTTGTAAGTGTAGTCATACCCCTCCTTCCTCATTCAAGCCATAGTTTAGAGAGCGAAAGCGCTGAGTACGTCAATCGCTAACATAACCCGTTAATCTCTTCTCGCATCATTAATACGATGATGCGGTGAAGTAAACGTTCATACAATATTACGGTGAATGCTTCCAAAAACAATACTGTACCCAAATATTACTGTTAACTTTCAATAGAAACATAAATTCCTCATACGAATATGCTCTCTCAGAATCGACCGACTGATGTAGCAGACGAAACAGTAATCTTGTTGAACAATTCTAAACCTTGTCAGTTTTCTCTGTTTTTCAAGGTTTTCTCAGTGTTATGCAATGTTTTTACATTTAGTTTACTATTACAATGAATTCTATGGCATAATTAACTATTTTTGTCTTTAAAAATATTTTAAAAACTTTATATACAGTTCGTAGGAGTCTGGAATGGATTAATCGTATTAACATACAATCCAATGGGGAAATTAGGTTTGAGTCACGACCAAATCGGGTTGCGACCAAAGTTATGGAACGAAATTATGGTCGTGACCAGAGGTTCTACTGTACTTGAACTCAGTTACCTGGACTATGGAAGGCGAGGACATGCAATGAAGGGGTCTACAAACATTCCATTGGTGACATGCTGAGATAGTAACAGGCAAGCCCTTACTGCCCGCGGTCCATCCAGTGTCTGAGGGGAGGCTGAGCGCGTCGCTGCCTCACCTCTCGTCTCTCCCTGTACTTGCAGCGAAGCTCTGCAAATTTGGCGATTTTGACTATAAATAAATAAATAAAACACTTGTTTTTTCATACGTGCTTTTATGAAATGTACTAGTAATGGCAGAACTCCACGACTCCAGGAAATGGCCCCGAAGCTTGCCATAACGTAAGGGACAGTGGCCAATTATAGCCAACGTCAGTTGACTGTGGGGACAATTAGACCGAAACATAACATATAAAAAAGAATGTTTAAAAATATATTTTTTTTAATGATAGAATATAGTATTGTCATCAGTATGACATAAGTATACCAAGTTTGCAGTCGATACCACATTGGGAAGTTGGTTAAAATTGAGTTACAAGATTTGAGAATACGACAAAAACGACAACAGACAGTTAAAATAAAATATTTTAAAATACTTTTTTTAAAAACACGCTTTAATGAAATGTACTGTCCGAGCTGCCCCTGCCCCCTTCTCTCATCGCTCCTCTTCCACATGCCCCGGCCCTGGGCGTGGCTCCCCAAGGCTTGCCGTGACGTAAGGGACCGCGGTGATTTACAGGCAACGTCAGTTGAGCGTGGACAATTAGAGCCGTAAAAAAGATTGTAAAAAAATATGTATTTATTTTTAATGATAAAATATGGTATTGTCATCAGTATGACACACCTATACGAATTTTGCATTCGATACATTGGGAATACGGTTGAAATTGAGTTACAAGATTTTTGGATACAACACATACAGTAAATTTAAATAAAAGCGTGTTAAATGTAAAAAAAAATCTATGTTATGGATTTTGTATGATATAATATCGTGTTGTCATCAATATGACATCGCTATACCAAGTTTGCAGTCGATAGCACATTGGGAAGTGTGTAAAATTTGAGTTAGAAGATTTCGTTTTTGAGGATACAACAGACGAAGTGAGTTAAATAGAAGCGTGTAAAAATGATTGGAATCATCTTCTTGGTTCTTTCGGTAAAGTCACGTAGAAGGGAAATAATAAAAATAAAACTTTTTAAAATAATTCTCACGACGTTTCGGCCACAACGCAAGCAGCCGTCCTCAGGTGACAGACCTGCTTGCGTTTTGGCCGACACGTGAGAATTTTATTTTAGTATGTTTTATTTATTGTTTTATTATTTCCCTTTTACGTGACTTTACCGAAAGAACCAAGAAGATGAATCCCTGCAGTCACGAAAACTTTAAATCGAAAATGATTGGAATCGTACAGAAATGACATAACACCCAATTTCAAAGCAGATGCGATCCACCCTTCTGAAACGCCCTGTAATTTACGAGTTTTGAATAATTGTAACCAAACACAATAAACCAGACACGTGAATTTGTGAACTTTCACGGCAACGTGTGTCGAGACCTTTAATCTGTGTAATCGGACACGTGTGTTTGTACATACAAAGACAAAGATCCCCCCCGGTATAGTCTTCACAGACTATTGGGGCAAGTGCTGTTAGCGGGTGGCGATGTTCGCACACCGCACCGGGTACGCATTTGAGGCTGAGTCGATGTAGGGGCGGCTCAGGACCGGTTAAAAAAATCATCTCCACTGGTTATGGGGGCCGTCCATAAACGAGGTCACGCGATTTTGGACGATTTTTGACCCCCCCACCCGCGTCACACGGCGTCACAAAAAGTCAAACCCCCTCAAATATGACGTCACACAGCTCTGTCCCCCAAATCAAGTTCAAGTTCATTTCAAGTTCATTTATTAGGTATAGCCCTGTGAGCCATTCAGCTCTTGAATCGGGTGCAACCGCAACAAACAAAAAACAAAAACATGAACAAAAAAACATCTTAAAGTGAATATGTGACTAAGTGCAAACAGAAAATCCAAGAAAAGACAGCAAAAATATTGCAGAAAAAACACCGTACACCAACGCTGTGTGCAAAAATGCCAGTGGGATGCAAGTCAAACAACAACAACAACCACAAGACAACTTAGATTAAGGCCATCAGTCTAACTCTGTACTACAACAACACAAACATGGCTAAACCAATACACTTTTCGAAATCACCAAAATAAAGCCATGAAGGCAATGAAAAAGCAATCATAGGAACTGACGGAATTTTCACAATAAATGGCATAAACAACATGTACTACCAAAACCCTGCAGCCATAGCTGGCTGCATGAGTCACTCCACAACAGCAGGAGCATCAATCGGAGTATTGTAATTTTTCAATGCACCTTTAAGATCAGCACACTAAATCAAAACACAGGTCATACTTTGTAGCGATCATCCGGAGCGAAACATTTTATTTTAGGTCACTGAATAGCACTGGCAGCTAGGGGTGTACAACTCCTCTAAAGCAGTTTTGAGTGAAGATCTCATAGGTAGTGACTCAAGTTTCAATTTATTTGCAACAGCATTCCAGACCCTGGGGGCATCAATAGCAAAGGCCCTTCCTCCAGTATATGTACGGCAATAGGGAATATTAAGCTGGTAAATGAGTGTAGACCTTAGATCAAATTTGTTCTTTGAAACAGAGACGAGATCCAGCAGGTAATCTGCAGATTTTTTTGCAAGTACATCATGAATAAATAAGATCTGGTGCACACGCCGTCGAACATTCAGAGATGTTAAGTTTGACCCAATGTAGAGATCACAGTGGTGAGTCCTATATGGGCAGTTCAATGCAAATCTTAAGGCCGAGTGATACATTGAGTCAAGCTTCTTCAGTACAGTACTTGGGGCTGATTTATACACAATGTCACAGTAATCAAGTAGAGGCAGTACGGTAGCTTTAATCAATTCCAAACGGAACATAGGAGGGAAGCAGTGCTTGTGTCGATATAGAAAACCAATTTTAATTTTTGTCTTTTTCCCAATATAATCAATGTGATCTTCAAAATTCAGTTTTGAATCCAGGATGACCCCAAGATACTTATAGATCTTGACTTGCTCTATTTGATCATTATTTAAGGTATGTAATTGGGGAAAAATAACTTCCCGCTTTAGTCCTGGTGAGAAGCATAGCACCTTGGTTTTGGCAGGATTTAGGACTAGTTTAAGAGCAACTAGCTGATGTTGTAGTTTGTTGAAATCACTCTGGAGCTTAGCAATCACGTCATCCGGAGAGCGGCCAGCAGTAATTAGTACCGTGTCATCTGCAAAAAGATTTACCCTGGAATAATCCAGTTCAGTGCCCAAGTCATTTACATAAAGAGAGAACAAGAGGGGGCCGAGAATGGAACCCTGTGGAACCCCTTTTGTTATCTTAACACTGTTTGACCTCCAACCATCTGTGAATACAGTTTGGGTGCGAGAAAAGAGGTAATTTTTTAACCATTTTACTGTGTTTTCGGAAAAACCGAGGCAACTTATTTTACTAAGCAGGATGTTGTGGTCTACTGTATCAAAAGCTTTGGACAAGTCAAGAAAAAGACAGGCGCAGTACTGCTTATTATCAAGGCTACTGTAAATGTGATTCAGAGAGTCTAATGCAGCAGATGTGGTGCTGTATTTTTTTCGGAACCCAGATTGTTTTAGATGTAATAGATTGTTG